AATTAGTGTATTAGCACTGTTAACATATCTTCTAGAAAACAGATTCTCTAAAGAAGTAAGACAAAATCAGACACATTTTTAATGAGAATAAAGACAGTTTTAAAGTATGGGAGTCTACCAAAAGAGTGATACAGCTGGGGCCTGACCACTCTATTCTCTACTTACCAGGTTGAGTAAGAGCCTATTAACTAGACGGAGAAAAACTAATTGTGGATTGGCTGGCAGTCAGGGTGTTGGAAACACCGTGTAATTCCACAATGTATTGAGGACATGGGCGAAAACATCAAACTTTCAAATGGTGTTCACATTAAGACCATAAGATAAGAGGAAATTAGGATAAAGATAAAGAAATTCATTACATGGAATAGAAAGAGAGGTCTTTAAGCATTATAATGTTCAATATTTACTGGTGTTGGAATAAAAAGTAGGCTTAAGAACATTAATGGAAGTAATTAGTGTCCAATAAATTGAACTAAATTATTACTTAACATGTAATATAGTGAAAACACCACTACAAAAGGTATGGTTATAAAGTATATTCATAAGCTTGGACTGGATCATTTGAAAGCTGTAATCATCTGGAATAATTTATTTTATCTAATCCTTGCATAAAACTTCATTGAGATCTTATGGCAGCTAAAGTCATTTAAACAAAACCTCTGAAGGTAGATTAATATAGGAAAAACTTACTCTAAAAAGTGAAATTTTACAATTTTAATATAACAGAACTCATAACTATCATTTTAATCTTAATGTGAAGCAATTTTTTAGCACATTCATTGGTTTTGTTGTTAACCAGATGATGAAAATGACCCTGTGGTAATCCAGACAAGCTTTGAAGCTTCCCTAAGTATGGGCTTAATTGGCTTTGGAACTATGTTTTTTGATGGTTTAATAAATAACCACATTATAAAAAATGTCAGTCTATTCCACAGACTGAATTTCATAGAGTTTCAAACATACTTTAACTCTCATAGGATTTTTTTCGTCTATGTAAATTCTGGAATTCACAGTGCTAAGTAGGAGCTAAAGCCAAGTAAATGGCAAGCCAGCAGTAAATAATACAGATAGTTGGGGCTGCTGCAAGTAAATGGAGGTCTGATGAAGATTATTTCAAACTCAAAACAGCTAAGAAAGATAATTGACATTCTTTCAGTGTAGTGGTTGGCTTGACTATTGACTAGGCAGTTTTCAACTTTGAAGGGACAAGAGGTTAGCTTGCAAGTTTTTGTCTTGAAGAGAAGCAAATAATGTCTGTCCAGTAGACAGATAACACTAAACATTATCATCTGTGGACCTTTTGAATATAAGCAGCTTCATATCTAACACAGGAATCTGTCATAACATTTCTTTAATTCCTTGTATATACTTAGCTTCTTAAAAGATCAATGAACCAGTTATAATGGTTACTGCTTTCTTATTAATGATTTAAATAAAATCTTTGATTTATTCATTTTGTATTTTATGAAAACCATGCTTTTTGACTTTTGAAAATGTTGTTTACTTTATTTGGAGATAGTCCATGAGCTGCCCAAGTGGATTGATGACAAAACCATGTAGGAGACAGGTGCCCCTGGGCTGTTTATATTCGAGCATGACTCTCCTTGGCCACTAGAGTAAGTCTCAAGTGCAATCAATTTTAACTTTCCTAACTCTTTTTTCCCCTACTCTTTTTGTTTTTGTTTTGGTTCATGCATAGTTGCTCATTGATTCCCCATAGATGGTAGCAATGGATAGAAATTTGGTTTTGTGATTTGACCATTTGTGAGATCTCTGTGCTAGGGACGGTGATCTTTCTGTCCTCTGTGAGGGGATGCATGTTAGGTAACTTGGTTTGTTAGGCTTTCTGCTTGTTTGTTTATTTGTAAGCTCAAACAGTTAAAATTTTTGCTACTGGAAAGGAGAACAACTTAATTTCTGAAGTAATGAGTTTTGGGCTCCTCTTTTTGCTTTTGATTTATAGTTGAAGTTGCAGAACTGAGACTGTAAGTTCTTTTTATATCTGTGTTTGTTTGTGTGTCTGTAATTCAGAAAAGTATTTACATCTCTTTATTAAATGTGAGTCATTTTCCTGTCTCTGGCAGATGTAAATAGTTACATGTCTCAAAGTAATGGAATTCTGTTCTGATTGGTTTTCAAGAACCAATCAATGTTTGTAAATGTTAAATCAATGAATTATATTAAATGTTAAATTTGTCTTATACTCTTCCCAAGGGATAGTAAAATGTTACCCTTTATCTTGTATATAATGTATCATTAGCAGAGGTTCTTTATCTTTCCAGTATAATTGTTGTTAGGTTGACTTCATCATGTCCTCAATTATTAAAAAACCTTTTTTCTTTGCTTGTAAATGTGCTGTGTTCTTAAAGTCATATTGCCCTCCTCTGTTTATTTTTAAATATTTTATTGTAAATAGGTAACAGAATACTGTTTCTCTGTCAACCATGATCCATTTATTAATTGAGTTACAAATCTTCTTTGATAATTTTTGACTTCCAAGTTTCAACCCTAAGTTTGGAAAAAATAAAACAAAATTTTTACAGTATCTTTCACAACTAAAATTATCTTTGAAATTTCCCAGGGAACTACTGGAAAATCATAATTTTTTTTTTCTTAAAAGAGAGGACTGATAGAAATAATTAGGTTTGATTGATATGCTCCATATTTCCTAATTAGCTCAAAACTATTGTCAGATCCCATAAGATACATACATATCTTCTGTGGTTAACATGGGAGAAGTGTCAAATCAGAAGAATCTTTCAGCTTTCCCTAGGCTTGTGGGTGTAAAATGCAATTGACACAAATGCTTTAGAGCGTGAACTTCACAGGCAGGACCCCAGGTTGTCCACAGTGCCTTTGTTGTCTAGATAATGTTCAGCTCTGTAGGAGTAAAGATTAATATATAGATTTTTCTCTGTATAGAGATGTAAATAAATTCTGACTGACAGAACAGATAACCTAAAAGGTTAAGATTTTCGGATCCTGTTGGGTATTAAATAATTTTGTATTTCACAGAAATACATTTTGGACCAATCATAACTTTTGAAAGCTTCTCTCACCAATGAATCAGTTAAATAAAATTTTTGACATATGGTTATTTTATATTTGTATAAGGGTCATGGTTTCCTTTTTTGAAAAATATCTGAAGTATGGCTGACATAATATTATATTAGTTTCAGGTGTATGACATAGTGATTTGACATTTATATACATTATGAAATGCTCAGCTCATCCTGTTAAGTATAGTTATCATCTATCACCATACAGAGGCATTATAATATTAGTGACTATATTCCTTTGCTGTACTCTTCATCCCCATGACTTCATTATTTTATAACCGGTTTCTTTTTAATATATTTTGTTTGCTGTGGTAAAATACACACATAACATTTAGTACTTTAACCGTCTTATAGTGTACAATTCATTGGCATTAAATACATTCAAAATGTTGTATAACCATTACTAGTATCTATTTCCAGAACTTTTCATCATCCCAAATGGAAATCTCTTTAAAATTATATCTTAACACAATGTTTATTGAGCATTTATTTTTGTTTTGCTTTAGTTTAAATTTTTTGGCTTGATATATTCTAGATGCTGAGATACAGAAGTAAATAAAGCAAAAAGAAACTCTTGAAGTGGTTTATGTTTTAACAGAAGAGAGTGAAATGAAACAAGAAAACTAAGTATAATATTAGTATTTTAGATAGCGATTAGTGCGAGAGAGGAACAATACATGGAAAAGGAATAAGAAGTGTCAGAGTGGGGGAGTTTGCAAGGAAAAAGCCTCCTAGAAAAGGTAACAAGGAAATACCAAGAAACAAAAACGATAAGCCAGGTGAATACTGAGGGTGGCGGAAGCCTTCTAAGCAAAGGGAGAATGTAGGGTGAAGAAATGCGCTGTCCATTGGCGTGCTTGGGGAACAACGGCGGGTCGGTGGGGGGCAATTAGCAAAGGGAAGAGTAAGGGGAAAGTTTCAGAGTAGAAATGGGTCACTAGAATGTAAGAATGAATCAGTGTAAGTCATTTGCTTTTAATTTGAATTAGATGGGAAGTCACTGGGGAGCTTTAAACACAAAGATGATGTGGTGTGACTTAATGTTTTGAAATGATTATCCTGGAAGTTGTGTTGGGAAGAGAACAAGTGAAGGAAGGACAGAGGCAAGGAGTCAGTTAGAAGACTGTTTCAGTAATCTGGGTGGGAGGTGACGGTGTCACAGGTAGAGGGGCGGATAGAAGGAAGGGAATATGGGTTTATTCTGGATAGAGTTTGAAGGTAGATGTATGGAGGACTTGCTGGGGCTCAGTGTGTATTTGCCTGAGAAAAAGTATTTGATGATATCTTCATGTTATTTTATTTGAACAGTTGAAAAATAAAGTCGCCATATGAGATGAGGAAGAATGTAAGAAGCAGGTTTGAGGGGAAAAGGAAGAGCTCAGATTTAGAAATGTTTGCTAGACATCTACCTTAAGTTATTAAGTAAGGAGATACATATATGAGTTGAGAGTTCAGAGAGGTGATCCATGCTGGAGATATGCATTTGGGAGCTGTTGAAATATAAATGCTATTTAATTCCATGAAATTCTGTTAGATTATAAAAGCACAGTGTGTTGATCCAATACAGTTAAGAACCAAAGACAGAACTCCGGGACCATTCAATTTTTAAAAGTCAGGGATGTGAAGAGGAACTCCTGGAGAGGCTTGAGGAGCCAGAGAGGCAAGAACGAAACTGGGGAAATGATGGAAGACTGGAACCTCTGTAAAGTCAGGAGCTGAAACCAAATGTGGATCCCAGATTCTCCATCAATGCCCAGGGGATAAAATAGGTTCTTCTACATCAAGAAAATTCAAGTTGGATTTCTTTACCTGGCATTCACTTGGTCAGGGCAGAACAGAATCAGGCCTGAGCCTCTACTATGTAGGATGTAGGTTCTGGGGTAGTCTATGCTGCAATTCATTTATAATTTAATGCCTAATTTGGATTTGTGCACTCCACAGAGCCTGGTCTGGATCCACCATGAAACCTTCCAACAGGAATAGAGGAATATGTTAGAAAACAGAAAAATGAACTATCAAGCAAAAATAAGCAAATGAAAATGAAAGCCCATGACCGTGAAGAGTCATGAGTGAAGTATCCATGAGTGGAGAAATGGTGCCTGAGAAAAACATGCAGACCACTAATTTAAAGGAGTTTTAAGGTAAATTTGTTTAAAATCTTTAGTGGGCCATCATGAAATGGGCAAGAGATTATAAAAGAACAGATGAATGTGAAAAAAAAGCCAAGTATAATTTTTGGAAATTAACCATAAACTTTAGAAACAAAATATCATTAACTTTAAAAATCAGTACGTAATTTAAATAGTAAATCAGACATAACTGAAGAATAAGTGAATTTGATAATGAAATTAGCTAAATTTTTACAATGCAACAAGATAGAATGTATGAAAGATATTAAGGTATATTAAGAAGCTGTAATATATATCTAATAAACTTTAAAGAATGAGGTAATAGCAAATGAAGAGAAGGAAATGATAATCAAAGAAATATGAGAAAGATATGCCTACAAATTGACAAAACCCCCTGTGTACTAATCAGTGTTAATAAATCTGCAATCAGAATATGGTAGTAAGACTGCCATTAAGAACAATAAAAGATATTTAAAACATTCCAAAGTAAAAATACAGATTTCCCATGCAGAAATGGCAGTCATATTAAGAGTAGAGTTAATCTCAGCAACAATCTATGTCAAAAGACAATGTAATATGTCAAAGTGCTGAGGGAAAATGTGTTTGAACCTCAGTTTCTATGTCAAAATATAGCTTACCACTGTCAAGCTTACCACTGTCACAGCTTACCACTGTCAAGACAGTTAAAATAAGACCTCTTTTAAAAGGGAAACAAAAGTGACCGCAAAGTTAACATCCTTTAAACAGAGAATCAGCTTTAGTGAAAGCTAGGTGGTAAATCACTAGGATCTAAAGCATTTCTGTTTTTCAAGGCACTGTGTTGTGAATTATCTCCCTTCACTATTAAGAGAAGTTAGTCTTGAGCATATTTACAAGGTATTAAGCAGAATCCTGTCTTTCCACTAATCAAGTTAAAATGAATTTTAAGACAAATAAATTTTTCTGCATGATGGAAGTAACAAATTTCTTGTGCTATGTTTTCTTGACATTTAATATCCATTATAAGAACTCTCTACATTCTATTTTTTAAGACATATAAATGTAAACTTTTATGTTTGCTAACGTCATGAAATATTTAGGAAGGTATGAGAAGTTTGATATTTAGAAAGGTATGTGTGACTGGTTTTTATTTATTAATTTTATTTTATATTGAGTTACATACAATAAAATGCATAAATTTTAGTGTACAGCTTAATGAGTTTTGACATGTACACTCATGTAACTATCACCCAGAACAAAGTATGAGACATTCACCCTAATCCCCCAGCTTTGTTCTTTCTTCTCAGATTGCTTTGACTATTTGGGCTCTTTGGTGGTTCCATATGAGTTTTAGAATTATTTGTTCTAGTTCGTTGAAGAATGCTGCTGGTATTTTGATAGGGATTGCATTGAAGCTGTAGATTGCTTTAGGCAGGATGACCATTTTGACAATGTTAATTCTTATCCACGAGGACAAGAAATATTTCCATTTATTGGTGTCCTCTTTAATTTCTCTCGTGAGCGTCTTGTAGTTTTCAGGAAATAGGTTTCACCTCCTTGGTTAGGTTTATTCCTAGGTATTATGTTCTTTTTGATGCAATTGTATCAAATAGAGTTGTTTTCCTGATTTCCCTTCTGCTACTTCATCATTAGTATATAGGAATGCAATGATTTCTGTGTATTAATTTTGTATCCTGAAACTTTGCTGAATTCAATTATTAGTTCTAGTAGCTTTTGGGTGGATTCTTCAAGGTTTTTATATACAATATCATGTCATCTGCAAACAGTGACAGTTTAACTTCTTCCTTACCAGTCTGGATGCCTTTTATTTCTCTGTGTTTGATTGCTGTGACTAGGACCTCCAGTACTATGTTGAATAAAAGTGGGGAGAATGGGCATCCTTGTCTTGTTCCCAGTGTTAGAGGAAAATCTTTCAGCTTTTCACTGTTAAGTATGATGTTGGCTGTGGGTGTGTCATAAATGGCCTTTATTATGTTGAGGTACTTGCCCTCTATACCCATTTTCTTGAGTGTTTTTGTGATACATTCATATTTAACAAGACCAAGGAATAAATTGTTGGTATATTTAACCACTTGAATGGATCCAAAAGTAATTATGAGGAATGAAAGAAACCAGACAAGAAAGAGTGGCCAGTATGTATTATTCAATTTACATAAAATTCTAGAAATTGCAAACAAATCTAGAGTGACTGAAAGCAAATGAATGTTTTCCTAAAGAGTGGGCGAAGAGATGCAATGAGAGTTGGACTATGAAAGGAACAAAAGAAATTTTGAGAATAATAGAGATGTTTTTTATATTGATCATGGTGATAGTTACTTGAGTTTGTATAAATCTCACAGCTTATCAAATTGTACAGTTAAATATATATAGTTTATTGTACATCAATTATATCTCAGTAAATCTCCAAAAATATTTAAAATGTTTCAAACCCTCAGCAAAGGGGAACTAAGATTTTGTGCTCCACATGCACTGTTGATATGCCTAAGTATACTATTGTTGCAGCCTACTATGAGAAAATATATTCCCTCTGTCTTTTAAAATAGTTCTCTAGTTGAGTGAGCAGCACAATGTGTATACTACCTATATATTGCAGACAGTATGGTGTAAATATATTAATAACAGAAATTAAAAATAGGTCACTCATATTCATTATGTTAATAAGTGGTAACAACTAATGTTAATAAATCTTTGAAGAAATGGCAACTCTCATCCAAAGCCAAGGGTAGTAATTTACTAGGAAAATTGACATGTTGATTCTAATATAGAATTTTGCATTATTATTAACTGACATTTGAAACTAGACTCATGAAATAATTGTGGATGTTTATTGTAATTAAAACACAAGAATGTTCACTATAATTTTGTACATACTAGAAAAATATTGGGGCAACCCCATAAATGTAAATGGTAATTTATATGACATTTTTAGTAAATTATATATGCAATAGAATAATGTGCAAGTGGAAAAAATAGCAATTTAGGAAACATGTAATACTTGTTCATTTGTAGGAATATCTTCTAACACTAGTAAACTGTGTATCTAAAAATATATTTTTTAGATTTGTTTGTAATTAGCAATATTTAGATGTATCCTACATTTATGTAATGAAATAATTTAATTATGTTACATTCAGATCATGAAAAGCAATTAAAATGAATGAGGTGTATCTTTTACATTTGTACTGATTTGGAAAGGTGGCTATGATATAATCAGAATTCATATACACCCACAGCCCAGAGACATATGGACACACAGATAAACAGACAATTCCCAGAATATTATGTATGATCCTTTTAACTCAGGTGTAACTTGTAAGTGTGTGTGAATGTGTGAAAGAAAGGGAGAGGAAGAAGCTGCGTACACTCAGTGAAGAATGTGCTCTACATGTTAGTATCTGTGGGACTGGCTGGTTTTGGGTAAGGCTGGAGAAGTGTATGAAATTGTATTTTAACTTTGGCCCTGTTAAGTTTGAAAACTTTTATAAAGTACATGTATTATTCATAATTTAAAACACAGGGAAATTAATTGATAAAGAGTACACTAGTCATGCTATTTTGTTATATGAAAAATCCACTAAGTGAAACAATATGTATTATATGGGTTCATTTCTAAAGTAAATTATATATGCATATATATTAGTCAACTTCACTGGTTTGTGGTACATTAACAGAATTTCCATGAATAACAGTCGTTTTCAGTGACTCTATTCAAGATGGTTCAAACTTTAGGAGCCAGAGTGAAAATAAGCCTGTATTTTGGATACAGTATTCTAACGGCAGAGGGCAGTGTGAAAGAGCTGGCGGAAACAGGGAAGAGCTCTTCAGGCATCTGCTCAGAACAGGCCCAGATCTGCAGTGCTCTCCTGTCACTGGCTAACCCAGGTCGAAGCTGACAATGATGAGGGCACTCTGCCTGTAGGGAGGCACTGTAAGTAACAGAACAGTGAGTAGGGAAGTAACATCATCTGATTGGAGGCTTACATCAAATTGTTCAAACAATTCAACAATGTACCTTGGTTAAAAAACTTGTATGTAAAACCAGATATTACACAATCTATCCTTGCATCATAAAAGGTACTTTAGTTTTTCCTTTTTGTTAATCTTTATTTGTTAAAATTTCCTGTCATTAGCATGCATTCATCTTGGGATAAATTGGTTTCCTTGAATACCCCAATGAAAGTAACTTCCCATGTACATCTCACTCTCTATTCCCCTAATCTGTTTTATTTCTCATCATAGCACTTACGGCATTTGGCATCCCGTGTGCCTGTTTGCTTAGCTTTTGTTTATTCTTATATTTATTTGGCTAGAATTTAAGCTGCATGACTGTGGAGAATTTCTCTGTTTTGTTCATTGCTCTATTGAAAATAGTTTCTGGCACATAACAGATAATAAGTACTTCTGATTGAAAGAACAATTACTTTTTTTAGCAATTAAAATTTATATAATTAACAGGGAGGCAAATGCTTTTGTATCCTGAATTGATCAAGGCAGGGAGTAATTGTGAAATAAATAATACTATTTTTTATCTTCCAGTTTGCATTTGGAAATACTGTAGACCCCCTATCTACAGTTTCATTTTTCACGGTTTCAGTTATCTGTAGTCAACTGCTGTCCAGAAACAGATGATCCTCCTTCTATATCATCAGAAGGTTGATAATAGCCCGATGCTCCCTCACAATGCCTACAGCATTCACCTCACTGCATCTTATGTAGGCATTTTATCATCTCAATTCATCACAAGAAGGGTGAGTACATTACAATAAGATATTTTGAGAGAGAGACCACAGCCACATAACTTTTATTACAGTATATTGCTATAATTGTTTTACTTTATTATTGCTGTTGTTAATATCTTGCTGTGACTAATTTATAAATTAAACTTTATCATAGGTACGTATGTACAGGAAAAAACATAGTATATATAGGATTTTGTACCCTCCAAGTGTTCAGGCAACACTGGGGGTCTTGGAATGTATCTCTTGGGGATAAGGGGGGGTACTAACTGTACAGAGCGGGCTTCCTCAATACAAATCCTCTTTCTCTCTCCGTGTGTCTGTGGGTCTCTGGTCACTCAGAGGATCACTCCTCTTGCAGTCAGTCATTAACTGACACTTCTCTGCAACACTTGGTCCCATCTGCGTCTCCTTTTCCTCTCTCACTACACTTGCTTCTGCACTTACACGAGTCAGGGAACAGCACCTACATGGCAGGTTTTCCCCCAAAGGGAGGACAACCACAGACACATCCATTGTCCAATCTCCTCATCTTTGGCTCCTGGGAAGTCTGTGACGTAGTCCTGGAAAGAATCCTGGGGAGAAGTTTTGAGAAAGAATTCATAAAAAAATAATTGTCATTGAAAACAAATTGAGCCCAAGCGTACAGGGACCCACTTTTATTGAACTATGGGAAAAAGGTAAGTCTTTTATTTTTAGAGCATAGGAAACAAATTTGGATTTACAAAAACAATTAGAATATTTCTATATTCTAATTGGGAACAGCTAGGACACCCATGGGCTCTGCGTCAGGCTGTGTCCTAATCTAGGGTGTCATCCCGGGAATCCTAGTGGTTGTGATCTACACTGAAAACAAGTGCTGAGGGAAAACTCACAAGAAGACAACCATAGCTAGGAAATAATCCAGCCAAGTTTTAGGGCACAAGATCAACACACAAATATCAACTGTGTTTCTATACACCAGAAATGTACAATCCAAAAAGGTAATTAAGAGTAATTCCATTTTATAAATGAACAAATTTCTAGAAATAAACAACCAAGGGAATGAGAGACACTGAAAGCTGTAAAAAAAAAAAAAAAACACTGCTGAAAGGAATTAAAGAAGATAGAAATAAATGTCTATCGTATCACCCCTACCATGGGGACTTGATCAAAGTACATATGTGATGTCTTGAAATTAGGTACAAAGATTCCTTGCACTTATTTTCCCTTACAAAATCATTTTACTTCTAGTCTCTTACTATATAGATTTTTAAATTCTGTGTAAGTTTTAGAATGGTTGTGTCTGTATTTTTAAAAAAGCTTGCTCAGATTTTGATAGGAGTGGCATTAAACCTATGTATCACTTTGAAGCGAATTTATATATTTGCTGTGTTGAGTCTTGCAGTTCATGAACTCAATATGTGCTCAACTTGTTTACATTTTCTTTGATTTCTTTTATCAGTGTTTGGTAGCTCTCAGACTACAACTTCTATAATATTTTTCTAGATTTACACCAAAGGATTTATTTTTTCTGAGCAGATATAAAGTATATAAAATATTTAATTTCAGTTTCCAGGTGTTCATTGTTGGTATATAGAAATAAAAATATTTTTAACGTTTGTCTTGTATCTTGTGATGTGCCTAAACTCACATTTTAGTTCTAGGATTTTTTTTTTTACATTCCTTGGGATGTTCTACATAGACAGTTATGACATCCATAAATAAGAACACTTTTATTTCTTTATGTCTGATCTATATGCTTTAAAAAAAACACTTCTTGCCTTAATGTACTGGTTGGAACTTGTAACGTTGAATACAAGTGTTAAGAACAGGCATCCTTGCCCTATTCAATCTAGAGGGCAGGCACTCAGTCTTTTACCATTAAGAATAATGTTATCTGAAGGCTTTTGGTAGGTATGGGAAAATTGCTTTATTTCTAGTTTTTTGAGGACTTTTTGTAATAATCTTATATTGGATTTTATCAAAAGCTTTTTCTGCATCAATTGTTATGATAATGTGATGTTTCTGTTTTAGTTTGTTATTATAGTGGATTATACTGAATGATTTTTGAATATTGGACCGACCATTAATCCCCAGATGAAACCCCATTTACTTGTGTGTAATTCTTATTTATAGGCTCAAATATACTTGCTAATATTTTGTTAAGGCTCTTGCTTCTGTATTCTTTAGGGATATTGGTCTGTAGTTTTATCTTTTGTACAGTATATTTGTTTTGATATAAGAGTAATACTAGCATCATAAAATTAAGAAGTGTTCCATTCTTTTATTTTCTGGGAGAGACTATAGAATTGAAATTAGTTCTACTTTAAAAACTTTTTAGAATTCTCTAGTGAATTAATCTTGTCCTGGATATTTCTTTTTGTAGATGTTTTAAAATTATAAATGGGACTTTCTTAATAGTTATTAGGCTGTCGAAATGATCAGTTTTATTTGGGATGATAGTTTGTGCTTTTTGAGGAATGGTTATTTCTTTTAAGTTGTCATTACTTATGTGTATGGAACAGTTCATAGCATTCCCTTATTAATGACATTAAAAGGGTAAAGATTATCCTTTCTCTACTGAGTTTCCTTTACTCCTTTGTCAAAAATCAGTTGTCCACATCTATTTGCTTATCTGTTTCTGTATTCTATTCTGTTTCATTGATCTATTTGTCTATCTTTATGTAACTAGCACATTGTCTTGATTACTGTAGCTTTATCATAAGGCTTGAAATCAAGCAGTGTTAATCATCGAATTTTCCTCTTTTTTAAAAAATAGATCTTATTTTTTAGAACAATTTTAGGTTCACTGCAAAACTGTGATTTCCTATATGTGCCCTGCCCCAATGCATGAATAGCCTCCCACCATTATCAATTTATTACAATTGGAGTGTGATACATTTATTACAATTGATGAATCTGCATTGACACATCATTAGTTCACATTAGAGTTGACATTAGTCCTCAGATTACATTAGGGTTCACTCTTGGTGCGATATATGAATTTATGCAAATTTACAATGACATGTATCATGTATACACTAATTCAGTGTCATTTTCCTGCCCTAAAAATCCTCTCTTTCAAAGTTGTTTGAATTTCTGTTTTAATTTTAAAATTGGCTTGTAAATTTCTATAAATATGTGCTGTAATTTTTATTAGAATTGTGCTTAATCTATAGGTCAGTTTGGGGATATTTGAGCCCTTTTGAGTCATAGATAAGGCATATCTGTTCATTTATGTAGGCTATCCTTAATTCTTACAGCAGTGTTTTGCAAATGTTAGTCTACAGGTCTGTACACCTTTTGTCAGATTGATTTCTGTGTTTCATATATTTGATGCTATTTTTAATGGTATGCATTTTATAATTTCAATATTCAGTTGTTAGTTGCTAGTATTAGAAATGAAAATACATTTTATGTGTTGATCTGGTATCCTAAAATCTTGCTAAATTCACTTATTAATTTCATTAAATTTTGTAGATTCCATATGATTTGCTACAAAAATGATGAGGTCATCAGCAACAAAGGCATTTTTACTTCTTCATTTCTAATCTGCTTCTCCCACCTTCCTTCACTCCCTCCCTCACTTGCCCTTCTTCCCTCCTTCCTTCCTCCCTCTCTCTCTCTCTTTCTTTCCTTTTTGTTTTTTGGTCACAAAGTTTTTTATTTTAACTGAATGTATAGATACAACTTTATTCCTGTGATAATCAAACATGGATATGTACCCATGTTGGGGTTCCAAGGGAAACAAACAAAAAAGAAAGTATAAATGTGGTACATTTTCTACAAATATCAATATTGGACAAGATGGGTTTGAATTTTTACTTTTTAAAGCATTTGTAGCATGTATGTATAAATAAAACCAGGAAAGCCTTCTTATTTAATGTTAATCAACTTTGGAAACAATGCATTCTTGTCTTTACCTTTCAAACATTTTCAGAATCAGATGGCTTCCCGCTCTCAGCCATTTCTCACAGTCATCTCCTACTTGTACTATTTCACTGGTCTCCTACCTGGTCTCCAGATTCCCATTCATCACCATTTCTAGCTTATTCTCCATGACAGCCTCCAGAGAAATCCTTTCAAAATGTCATTGAGACTATGTTATCTTCATTACAATATTTCAGTAGTTTTCCTTTTTCACTTACAATAAAATTCAGTGGTCTTATAATAGCCAATAAGAGGCCATGTATGATTTGACTTCCATTAATGTATCTTACTATGTCTCCTACCACTTTTCCTTTAATAATTGCTTAATTTCAATTATAATAGCCTTTTTTGATTCTTGAATATAACATTTAACATTTCCACTTCAGGGGCTTCATATTTGCTATTCCTTCTCCCTGGAATGCTTTTTACTCAGATAACTACATGACTTACTCTATCATGACATGTATGTTTGTTCAAATACCACCTCACCTGAGAGGCCACATCTAACCATTTTTTAATTGTCTGTCTTTCCCCAACTAGACTATAGGTTGTGTGATAGTAGGGATGGTGTTTTGTTTCTTGCTGTATCCTTGATTCTTAGAATAATGCCTAGCATAGAGTGGGTATTTGATATATATCATTGGATGATTATCTCTGAATGAGTAAGTTGCTTTTACCAGTAGTACTGGCCCACAGGTACTGAAGTGCTGGTGAGTAATGATTGGTCATTGTGATTTCCTAAGGAATAAGGAGATCCGCTTGATACAATGTTTAGTGAACAGGTTAACATAAGAACCAAAGTCTACGTTTTTTCATGCTCCCACAAGTTACATTAAATTTAATGTTTGGTCTAAAATCATTTAATTTATTTAATTAATCATCTGAATTATTCAATTAATTTTTGTGAGAATTTCTTCATTTACCTTTATCCTTTCAACTATGAACACAAATTAGTGATTAAAACAAGAAACATGAAACTGATAAATATACTCAAGACAATGAATAAAATTTAGAAGGACACAAACCTTCCTAATGTATGGAACAACTTGACCTCATCTATGAGGCTACTTTGACACACAGAAGGCAGTATTTTT